AAACGAAGTCATAGGCACGTAGGTTCAGAGCCAGACCGACTACTCCAAGAGCACTCATCCATAAACCGGTTACTGGTACAAATAACATAAAGAAATGTAACCAACGTTTATTGGAAAAAGCAACCCCAAAGATTTGGGACCAAAAGCGGTTAGCGGTGCTGTACATCAGGCCGAGTGCTAATTTAGTATTGGAACTTTAAAACACGACAATGTAGTATTCAAACTTTAATTTTGCGATAATTTATACTATTGTTATGTATATCACGTGACTCCATGTGCAATTTAAGATTTTTAAAAATATTAAAATTATCCTTAGACATTGTTCATCATCTTCTTTCTCAAGAAAATGAAATAGAGCCCAAATTCTCTATACGCAGTTGAGGGACTGCTCGAATGTACTACTAGTACCACCCTCCATCCAACTACGACGACAGAAACAGCCACCACCAGCTCCCCGGTCACCCTCACAACGATACAGCCAGTGGTAGCAGTGGAAAGCGAGTGAGTCATTGACTGTTGGCAGTATCCCAGACTCCCAGTCTGAAACCAAGAAAAGAGAAGCAACGAACGTTTGTAGAATGGATCAATTGAGTGGAGCCATGGAGGTAGAAAAATAAAAGTAAAAACATTCAACACCTGATCCAAGTGCGTTCTTCCTGCAATACTAGATGATCGTAGGATTCGAAGAAGATTTGTATTGGTCTGAGCTTTCGCTAATCGCTAGCTTTATTTTGGTTTGGACTTCAGACTTTTAGAGTTGAAATTGGCCGCTTTTAGCCAGCCTTGAGTCCCCTGATGCTACCAAGTCACGAGTCTATATATTTGTTATAGCTCACTTACTCTTGAGAGTTGAGCTTGAGACTCTTATGGCTTATCTCATAGGAATAAGATAATAGATAATAGCAACAACTCTGTAGTTGGATGGTTCTGTTAGAAAACCATTTTCTATAGACCTTGTTTTTCAACACAGCACATTGCCAGATATAAAAATGGTTCTTAGCTAGACTTTAGCTATTTCCCACTCACCATAACCTAAAAAAAAATATTGGAATTTTGTCGGAAATTCTCCTCTGTTTAGGAGTTGCCACCTTGATGGTCCAAGCATGCCACCGAACCACTCAGGCTCGGTGTTCCATTTTGAGGAATACATGGCCACAAAGGATGAAAGGGTGAACAAGTCTCTGGACGAGGTTGTTCCTCTAAGACAACCACTCAAGATACATGAGGCCATGAGGTATTCATTGTTGGTTGGCGGGAAGCACATTCACCCCATCCTGTGCATCACATCCTGTGAGCTAGTGGGAGGGGATGAGTCGCTAGCTCTTCCTATGGCATGTGCAGTCGAGATGATTCATACCATGACTCTCATACACAATGACCTCCCTTGCATGGACAACGGTGATCTGAGACGAGGCAAGCCCACCAACCATAAGGTTTTTGGGGAAGCCATAGCTGTTCTGGCCAAGGATGCACTGTTTTCCCTTGCCTTTGAGCATGTCGTAGCTAGGACCATCGATGTGCCGCCGGAGTTTGTTGTCCAGGTAGAGGCTGAACTGGGTGCAGCAATTGGGTCTGATGAACTTGTGGTAAGCCAAATTGTTGACATTGCCTGTAAGGGACAACAAGTAATGGATCTAAAGGAATTAGAGTACATTCATGTCCACAAGACTGTAAAGCTGCTTGAAGCTTCGGCCGTCTGTGGAATGATCATGGGCGGAGGAAGCATGGCCGAGGTGGAGAGGGTGAGAAGGTATGCCAAGTGCACTGGTTTGCTGTTTCAGGTAGTGGATGATATTTTGGGTATTAGAAAGGTATGCCAAGTATTCTCATCTATCATCTGAAGTCTTAGTTGTCCACTATTAACAACTATGGTTGGGACAGTGGTAGCCATGGTAGCATTCTTAGACTAGTAAATTAGAGGGACGGAGAGGAGGAAAGAGTGAGGAGAGACAAGACAATGAATAGGCGGCACTGTCGGTTTGGTTAATCCTAGCTTCATCTGGCTCTAATTTCCTCTCAATGTAGTTTTTGGCTTCCTCAATGTTTTGAGGGGTGGATGTAGTGAAGAGATCAATAAAATACCCCCTAAACACATCAACTATGTTCTTTTTGCTCTTACTCCCAATCCCCTTTAGCATTCTTGATCCTTAGAACTCTATTCCTAGCTCTTCTACTCAAAGTTGTGTGATGGAAGAAGCTTGTATTCTGGTATCCCCAATTTAACTAGTCACATCTAGACTTTTGCGCTCAAAAAATTCTCTCTTTTAAGCCACTGATCTAACTTTTCTTCACACTCATTTACTCTCCCACCCGAAGTGGAGGATCCTACCTTTCTAAGAGCTTGGTCTAACTCTGCTTGAGCCTCCTAGATTTTGGTTCCAGGTTCCCAAAATTGAGCTTATTCCAAACTCTTAGATTTTTCTGACGCCACCTACACTTATTTCTCAGAACAACTTGGCTAGATCCAAAAGAACTATTACTCCAACTTTCTTCTATCACTCTAACACGTTCCTCATGCAAGGATCACATTTCCTCAAATCTGAAAGGCTTTCTTCTCTTTTCAATCTCTAGATATTGGTCAGAGACAATAGGTAAGTGATTTGAACATCCTAGTGGGATGTGAAACACAGACACTTAAGGAAACAGAGAGAGCCACTCCTTATTTTCCAAGGCTCTATCCAGAACCACCTTGACATCCCCCAAGTAAAGCCCTAGTGTTTCTCTACAGAATGCATTTCTTCTCAGTTGTCCCCCATACTTTGTCTTGGATAGAAAAAGGCAACGTTTAAATCTCCTATACAGATCCATGGACCCCCCCCCCCACCGCGCAAACTATTTCCAAGAATCCAAAAAAATTTTCTTATTTTTTTTCTTTGGTTTACCATAGCAAAAAGAGCAAAACTAGTCACCTTTATCAGCATCAGTCACCAAGGTATGAATAAAATTTTTATTGGCATTCAACACTCTAAGCCTCGAATCCGAAGCCCAAAATAGAGCTAGACCTCCAGCTAGACCACAACGATCAAGTCCCCAATAATTCCAATCTTTTAACTTTAAGTTTTTTCCTGGCTTCAACTAAATTGCGTTTTATCTCCATGAGAAAGTGAATCGAAGGTCTCTCTGTCCAAGGGGATCCCAAACCCTGACATTTCCAGCTTGCAACTTTCATTTCTTTTTTGGGGATTGTTTTAGGATAATCCCCTCTAAACATATTATGCTGAAGACCACTAATTTCGATAAATTTTGGCTCCAGAACCTCAACCCTCCCATGATTGAATTGTGCTACTTTATGGATAACCCAACTTTATTCGTTGAAAATACAGATCTTTTGACTTTACAAAAAACCAATTTTTCTACCACAGCTTGAAAAAGTTTCCTCTTGATACAAAAAAAAATCTGATGGCCTACCATATTTTTAAAAATTTTTTGGGATGCACAACTTCTAGCTTATTGTGATGGTTCGAAACATGACATGTTTGCTGGAGATCATAGGTTTTACTGCTTCTCATCGTTCTTCTACTAGAACGATTACTATTGATAGTCCAACACCAAGGAATTTAGGGGATCAAAACCAACATTTACTATTGATGAATTGAAAAAATTTGAACTCATTGATAACTTCCATTGGTTCAAGAACTTGAGATGACGATGCATTGAAGTTGCTGATAAAGACACCAGTCTTCTTTGAGAATAGAGGGATGATGGGTTTGGAAGTCTCAAACTTTGTCTTTTTAAAAAATGGGACCAAAATCGATGCGAATTCCACAAACTTGGATCTGAATCTAACCCCATTTAGCTCGAACACCAACCGCTTCAGCTTCAAGTTTGGTTTTATTTTTTTCTACACCTCAACTCCCTATAGTTAACTCCTTATCCCTTTTGTGTGGTAGGCTCTGTTCAATTTCCACAATTAGCGATTCCTTCTACCTCACGTCCTTTGCACAATTTTTTAAACCTCACCTCTTGTTGAATCGATATTTCTTCTATGATCACTCCCGATGCTTTTCTCGATTGTGAAAGGAACTTTTCCTTGAATGGTTGGCTATCTATGAAATTTCTAAACTTGGTGAAACTTGAGCCCCCCACTCTTGCCACATTGACCACGTTCCTCGAATTACTACACGAAGTGTCCTCTTGCCAGAGGGGGAAGATCAGCACTAATACTAGTTTGAAATTCTGACTGGTTATACTGCATTCAAGCTACGTTTGGTTTTTTCCATGGCAACTCGATGGGAAGTTGTTGCATGAAGACAAGGATAATGGACTCTCTTGCTTCCGTTGGGTTCTCCTTTCCTCTGATCTCAGAGAACCCTGACTTGAACCCTCTGATTCAACCTTGGAATCTTGATCTTCCTTTGAACCATCACCTAGGGGTGAGCAAAAAAAAAACCAAAAAACCAAACTGACCGAAACCAAACCAAAAAATCAGTTAATTAAACCGGTTGGTTCGGTTTCAATTAACCATTTAAAAAAACCGACGGTTAACCAAATCGACTGATATATGCAATAACATATATATGTATATATATATATATATATTATATAAATAATATAATATTATATATATTATATTATATTATATTTTTTAGTTTTTTTAAAAATCAAATAAAAGATTTCGATTTATTCGGCACCTAGTCGCCTACCGATTTATTAGCTGTAGACTTTCAGCCTTAATGTTCATATTTCAAATTCTTTTTTGAAATTTGAACCTTTTCAATTAAAAGTTCGGTAGTCTACCTCTACCAGAGTGCTAGAGTGCCAGTTTTCTTTTGTCTTTTCCCCATACTGCCAACTCTTTTGTCTCATTTAATTTTTCTCTTTTTCTCTCACTCTCTTAGTTTTCTCACTTTCTCCTCTCCGTTTTCTCTTCTTATTCAATTCAGTTCTCACTCCATAGACTAGACGGCCACGCGACCTGCGCCAACCACCAGCACGGCAGCACCAAGCGGCAACGCCGGTCACCGCCTCACTAGAAAACAAGCACCAATGGTCCAACCAATTTGGAAAACAAGCACCAGTGCTGTCTCTCTCACTCTTTCAGTTCTCTCTTCTCTCTCTCACACCTCTCCTCTCTGCGTCTCCACTAGGCGCCAGCCGCACCACCTCTCAGGCTCTCATTCAGGCAATACTTGACGGCAACCACCGGCACTAACCAGTCCGGCACCGACAGTAACCAACGGCACCAGCAGTCTGGAACCAGCAACCACCCAACAATTTTAGTTATTTTTTTTATTTTAAGTGTATAAAAAAAACAAAAAACCGAACCACGATTAATCGGTCCATCAGTTAACCGATTGTATTGGTTCGGTTTTGGTTTGGATATTTAAAAAACCGATCAGATCAGTTTGGTTTGAAAAAATACCTCACGACCGTCACCTGTTTTCCCCTTCGGTTGAGCCTTTTTCTTTTTTTCTTTTTTTTTTTCAATTTGTTTATGAACTTTAGCTCTTCCTCATCGTCATCCGCCCTCAACCACCTTCCATAATCCTTTGGAATACCTACCTCTGACATGGATTGCACTACTAGTTTCTCAGTGAGGTCCTCAATAGGATCCTTCTATTTAACAAAACTACATTTTTCCTTCTCATGGTCGATTCGACCACATAGGTAATAGAGCACCAATAACTTTTCATTACAAACTGGGAACCTTTCCACATCGCCATTTCTCTTGACTCGCTTAATGTCTTTGACTAGAGGATTATTGATGTTTATACAGATTTTAATTTGGATATATAGATCCCACTCTAGGGAGATTCGATCTTTCTCATCATCTTCTTCCAGGGGATAGGTTCCCATAGTTGTCTTGCTAATACTTCAACATGAGCCCTTGACATGTATTCAGTAGGGAGATCCAGGATTCTTGCTCCAATATTCAAGTTCTCAAAGCACATTGAGTTATATTTCAGATCTGGTTCCCACTTTTGGAAGAGAATAGGGTAATCGTTGAAGACCCACGTTTGATTTTTGAGCACTCTTTTGTGTTCCTTCTCCCTTCGAAAGATGATAAAAAAGACATAATCTTTCAGCCTCTTCACTTCATTGTTTTTTATTTTCTCCTTCTACATATTTCTCAGTCTTTCTTGAACTCTAAATGCATTTAATGGTTTATTGGACCCCTCTATATAGACACAACTTACATTTTTCATCTAAACTCAGAACATCCCCTTCCTCTTCCATTACACACTAGAGAAACCCCAGCAAGGACCTAGGTGGAGATAGAGGAAACTACCAACTCTTTGGTTTACAACAACCCTTGCAAAATTTGAAACTAGGAAAGACAAGATAAAGAGAAGATAAAGAAAAGAAGGAACGTCAATGGAGAAACTTTAACCGACTAGACTTCACTCCCACAGGGGCAAAGAAGGGCTCTGACAAAGCAAAGAACACTCCCATAGAGCAAAGAAAGAAGAAAGTAAGCGAGTTCCTGTGCAATTGCAGTTAGGTCATCTGTGATGGGTATACGTCCATGGTCCATGGGCTTTCACATCCAAGCCTTCCAATTCAGAATGAGTTTGAATATAAGAATGCGTGCTAATCACAATTGGGAAGGGAATTGGACAATTTTATTTGTGGGCCTTAAACTTGATGGATCCAAGAACTTGTGTTTAACCTAATACTGAGCCATATAAGCCTATCTTGGTCATAAGATGGGCCTAAAATGTATGAAGTTTTCAAGATTTTGATTTGGGCTGAGCAAGATGAAATTTCCTAAATTTCCTAAATTTATTTGCAATATTTATATGTATGTACTTATTTATATTTTGTCTGATATATGTTAGTTTATAACATTTAAATTATATCTATTCTATATTTGCACTCCTATAGCTTTTTTTTGAAGGCCTAATAAGCCAAAGTTTTATTCATAAAAAAGTAAAAAAAAAAAAAAAAAACCTTGGTTACAAATCATATGGGACAAAGAAAATGATGGACAAGAGGAGGACTACACATGAAAGCATGGGGCAAATTCAAGCTATGTTTGGCCAAGTAATGAAAACACCGTTATCCTCACGAGGAATAAATCGAACTAAGGCTGAAGAGAATTCAACCAATAATATCCTACATTTTGTGACAATGTCTTGTGCATGCCAAGGTGAAGATAAAGAAGATTATATCAATAGGAAAGAAAGGTTGAGTGAATCACTCTCTAGAATAAACTGAGATATCTAATTCCAAATCAAAGAACAAATAATTTCTTATTGCAAAAGCTTTAACTTCCATATATACGTAAGCACACCTCATGAATAGACTTGTTCATGGGTCGGGTAGCTTGGCAGGTTGGCCCAGCCTAGCCCGTCTAAATCAGGCTTGGATAAGTTTTCAGGCCTGTAGGCTTGGACTTGGGCTTAAATCACTAGGCTCAACCTTTGTTCGGGCTGGGCTTGGGAGCCCGAGCCCAACTTGATAATGTATTATATAATAATATATAGTATATTTTTTCTTTATTATTCGTTTCTTTTTCAAGTAATAGTGAGATCTTTCAATATTTTTTAGGTTTTGAGGTCTTTTAATATAAATAAAACAGTTTTTTGTTGAATTAAAAAAGAAAAACTTTTTACAATTTTCTAGCTAAGCTTGGGCTCGGGCTCGAGCTTCGGCACGCTTTATATAAGGGCTGGGCTCGTGCTAAAGACCTAGGCCCGATGCTCTGGTCGTGTCGGGATCAAACCTATTAATACAATGAAAAAGCCTAACCTGGCCCATGAATAGGTCTACACATGAACAATGATTAAAATATCAGTGAATGTTTTATTTTATTGTATTTTAAAATATTGGTCTACACATGAACAGGTCTATGAGCGATATTGTATGTTTTATTTTATTTTCTTACTTTTTCAATTTTTAACAATTATAGGGATGTGATCTATCATTCCAAAGTTTTTAACTTTTTAAAATATGCATGTATCACAGTATCAATGTATTCCAATTACTACAAACTATATGAACTTTACACACATTATGTGGGGCCCAATTTGAGCCTGAACCGACCTAGCCTGCAATTTAACACTGACTACTCTTAAATTTTCAGTCCTTGGGCTGGGCCTGGGCCCAACAGTTTGGCCTTTTAAATTTTTCAGGTTGGGCTTGGACCTAGCTCTTAGGAACCTGAATCCAGCCCGACCCAATTATATACATGTATATGTGCATAAGCAGACACATATTTGCAAAGATACATGCATATGCATACATATATACACACATGTATATCAAATTTAAGTATGGGTTAATTAAGCAATCTGAGCCCAACCCAAATGCATCAAATTTTAATGTGGGATAGGCTTGGGCTTTAGGCCCAATTCTTAGGGTTAGGCCTAGGTTAAGCTAAAACCTAACCCAGCCCGCCCAACCTGCACACCTAGTAACTAGAGCTGAAATCTTCTGCTAACAAAACACATTCCAACCCACAATCAACTTGATCTAACACTATACATCTCACAATGAGACTAGGACCCACCATAAAAATGGGATACACTATGTATGAGGTGTGCGGTGTAAGATCATGTTAGTAAAGATTTGGAATACGTTTTGTTGGTAGGTGATCCAGACTCTAGTAACTATAGTATCTTTGACAAGGGTATGACCTTCATCCCTTTCTCACATAGCTTTGTCAGCCCCCTCAAGCTAAACGACAAACATTTGACGTTCAGCTTATTGGTCCTCATAGCTTCAAATTTCAAGTGAGACAAATGTTTAATTATCCCATTAGCAAGGTGGTCATGTGACGAAATAAATCGAACAAGCAATTTCTTCTATGTTACTTGTTCATATGTGAAATGAAAATCCCAGCATGAAAGACAGAATTAGCTATACGATACGTAGCTCTAAGATTATTGCACCACAGAATACACGATGTGGAAAGAGAGACACCTAGCTCAGTTAATAGAGAGCATAACCATATTGCTTTTGGAGCAACCATAGAAATACTACGATACTCACTCTCAATATTTGAGTGAGATACAACGGCTTCCTTCTTGGAACACCAAAAAATGAGATTATCATCAAGAAAAATATCATAACCACCTTGGAACCACCTGTTATCAGGGCATCCTACTTAATCAACATCAGAATAAGCATACAATTGTAGAGAAGTAGAGGGATGAACTTGGAACCCATAATCAGTATTTAATAGTATTCTTCAAGTAGCGGAGAATACATTTGACAACAGCCTAATTCTCAGTGGTTGGAGCATATAAAAATTGACACACGTTGTTAACTAAAAGGCTAGTGAGTGTAAGATATTGCAATGAACCAATAATGCTCGATAATGACCAACATCATCAAGAGGAGATCCCAAATCTTTAGAGATAACTAAGAAATTTCCAAAAGAATCCCGAGCAACTACTCTAAAATTAACCTACACAACTACTAGTCAAAAAATATATATACACCAAAAAAAGAAAAGACACATCCGCATTTAATTTAAGGGGTTTTTATAGTTCAGTCCACCTCTAGAGATCTAGAGCTCCACTCTAGGGGTGAACTAAATCCTAACTGTGAATTGATGCCAAATCCATGGGGCAGGATGCAGTTTATAGGGAGGGGGTTACTAAGTAGTACATTAGGACGGGGCTGCAAATCAAATTTCTAAATCCCCAATTAATACATGGAATCGGAATCATTGGGGGCGACTAGCAAACACAATGATTTGACAAAGGGCTAAAGAGGAACCTTACCAAATCCTATCTAAAATTTTTCTAGGCAGCAACAATCAATATATATGAAGAATGTGAACTTGGGTGACTCCAAAAGTCTGATATATCTGAACTTGGGTGTTAGAACTTTGTATCTTATTAATGGTCGAATCGTATGCAAATTAAACCCTATCTAATCGGATTAAGTCAGATAGACGGGATCCGGATCCGTAGGTTTGATAGTAGGATACTCGGATCTGATGCGGAAGCGGTTGGGTTCGATCCGATTACGGCCCAGCAGTGAGATCGTCGAGGTGATCAAACAATCAAACATCCATCTCCTTTGAATATTAATTGTTCTTTAATTTGTTTATTTAAATAATGAGATTAATTACCCATTTTGGTTTTGAGTATGCGCTACTTTTCATGGACTCCATTAATTTAATATTTATTTGATTGTCTTGCTTCGTGTTCAATACGTTGATCACATTGAAGATTCCATTCCACTGTGTTGTGCTTGAGATTCTTCTCTCCCATCTTTGGATTCTTAACATGAGTCTTATTAAATTGGTTATAAATTTCTGATCCTAGCAATAGAACACCAACGCTGACTCCCATGCATGTCTTGATCCCGGAACCATCTCGATCTGCAGCCTGTTGCGAAGGTGCAACATATAACAACGCCTATTATATATTCGACCTTTCTCTCCATGAAAAAGACCGGCAAATATAATGATTTCACTTTAATGTATAGTTAATACAAAGCTCCAGAAATTACAAAGCATATCTTCAACGATTATATTAATGGAGGCTTTCTAGATTGTCTTTCCACCGGCCATCTCCCCCATTCCGTAGGTGGGCTCAAGGCTTGAGCTTGCACGGCCATGGCAGATAAAGCTCTAAGCTTTATAAGCATTCTTGCTGAAAATTTAGCACCCATGCTCGTAGAAAGGTTGTCTGGTGGAGTCGATGCAGAAGTGAAATTCCTGAAAGATGAACTAGAAAGCATGAAAGCCTTGCTGAAAGAAGCCGATACAAAAGGAGACTGTGTGGAAGGGGTGAAAGCTTGGATGAAACAAGTACGGGAGTTGGCTTACGACGTCGAAGACATCCCAAGTGACCGAGTCCAGACTTGAGCCAAATTCTGTTGGTTTCCATCCGAGTATCAATCACCTTTTCGAAGAAATTGTGTCACGCTATCAATTCGGAAGCCAAATAAGGCAAATTAACAAAAGGACTCACAGCATAAAAGAGAGAAGCGAGAGATACAAAGTCAGAAAACTCGCAGATCAAGGTTCAACTTCATCAACCATCATCAGTTCAGCCCATGATCCTCGAATAGCTTCGCTTTACAACGAAGAAGCTGAAGTCGTGGGCATCGACAAGCCCAGACAAGAATTAATAAACTGGTTACTAGCAGAAGAGCCCATGCGAATGGAAATGGCGGTGGTTGGCATGGGTGGATTAGGCTTGGATCACTGTTTCTCGGTCCTTTCAAGTTCGGGATCTCTTGAGGGAAATGATAAAACAATTCTGGGAGGAGAAAAAGGAGCCACATCCACCAGGGCTTGACGGCATGGAAATGGTCCAGTTGATTGACATAGTCAGAGCTTGTCTACAGCAGAAAAGGTATGTAGTCGTCTTTGATGATGTTTGGAGTATTGATTTATGGAACAGTATAGAGAAGGCATTAGTTCTTAATGGTTGTGGTAGTAGGATCATGCTTACTACACGCATGGTTGAGGTAGCCAATTACTGTGTTGAATCTCCCAGCCATGTCTACACACTCCAACCTCTACGTTTTGAAGATGCATGGGAGCTCTTCTGTAAGAAGGCTCTGGGGGGCGATTGTCCTCTGGAGTTGCATGAGTGGTCTGTTAAAATTGTAAACAAATGTGATGGGATGCCGCTTGCAGTTGTGACAATCGGTGGTCTTCTGTCAACCAAAGATAGAACTGCTTCTGAATGGAAGTTGTACGTTGTATGACAACATGGGCGATGAGCTCAAAACCAATCCAGTTCTAGAGCCCATGACAAGAACTTTGCTACTAAGTTACCAGGATTTGCCTTACCACTTGAAATCTATTCTCCTCTACATCGTACTCTTTCCTGAGGACTATGAGGTCGAATGTGGGAGACTGATGAGGTTATGGATAGCTGAAGGACTAATCAAACAGACAAGAGGTAAGACAGTTGACGAGGTTGCACGAAAGTACCTCAATGCTCTCATCCGGAGGAACTTGATTCAGGTAGCCAAATTGAATATGTATGGAGAAGTAAGACGCTGTCGAATCCACGATGTCCTTCGCGAGATCATTCTTTCAAAATCTGAGGAAGAGAATTTCTTCAAAGTTCTCTCGGAACAAGATAAAGTCTGGCAACAAGAAAGCATGATCAGACATTTATCAATCCACAATAGTATTGATAATTTTCTATGGAACAGCAGATATACCTCCAGGGTTCGAACCCTTTTATTGTTTAGGATTCTGAAATTACAAGGAAATTTCATGAACACAATTCTGTCCAGCTTCAAGTTACTACGAGTACTGGATTTACAAGGTGCTACATTAGGAAGTCTTCCAGAGGAGGTTGCAAATCTCTTCCATTTGAGGTATTTGAGCGTGAGAAAAACCAAGGCCAGAGTGCTGCCGAAATCCATAGGCAAGCTACAAAACTTAGAAACGCTTGATCTTAGAAGCACATATGTAGAGGAATTGTCTTTCAGTATGCTAAGGCTCAAACAACTACGACATCTCTTGGCTTTCAATATCAAAAACCCGGCTACTGCTGAAGGGATGAGGGTGCATGGTCGAATAGGGTCTCTAATGGCCCTGCAGAAACTATCATTAATAGATGCAGACATGGGAGGTGCTCGCATAACTACAGAATTAGCAGGCTTGACTCAGCTGAGGAAGTTGGGTCTTCACAACCACGTAAGAGAAGATGGAGCAGATTTGTGTTTTATTATTGAAAAGATGAAGGACCTCCGTTCGTTGAGGCTGGACACCATCTATGGTGAGTTCCTTGATTTACAGCATCTATCGTCTCCTCCCAAGCTTCTCCGACGCCTGTGGTTGGATGCCCATCTGGAAGAGTTGCCGCACTGGTTTTCATCCCTTCATAACCTGGTCTACTTCCGAATGGGCTAGGTCATGGTTGCGTGATGACCCCATTAAAGTTCTTCAGTCACTGCCTAATATGAAGGAGCTCTATCTCAATGGGGTATATGATTCAAAGGAGTTATATTTTGAGGCACAAGGATTTAAGAGACTGACGCAATTTGAGATCGGTGTCTCACATAATGTGAGCTCTGTAGTCATGGAGGAAGGTGTGATGCCGCTTCTTGAGTATCTGATGATATCGTCACGTGAGAAGCTAAAGAAGCTGCCATTGGGCATCCAACACCTCAGAAACTTGAACCACTTCAGGTCCACCAACATGCCCAAAGAATTCGATATGGCCATACTTCAATTACTGGATGGTAATAGTCAGAGGAACTCCAAAGTAGATGTTTTGAATCATATAAAAAAGGTAAATTTTAACACTCTTCTTGAAGATGGACACTGGCTTACTTACTCGAGGGACGAATTCAGAAGCACCATTGAGCGTCTTCGGAAGAAAAGCGACCCAGAATTCCCACAATCTTTGGAGGATTTGTTTGGTAAGTATATTATATTGTTTTTGTTTGATGGAATATATTGAGCTGTGTTTGGCTTGATAAAAAATAAGAGAGAGACGGAAGGTTGAGGGAAAGTTCTTAAGGAGTTTTAAATTCTGTCAAAGAAATTTCCCTCAACTTTCTGTTTCTCCCTTGTGACATAGTCTTTAGTTAGTTCTGTTTGAGTCTTTTCTAATTCTTTAATGAATCAGTTATGATACATTCACTAATTAATATTTTGTTTAAATTAAATCAAGATTTCAATCAATCATATTAAACAAGTCATATGGTTCACAAATCTGCACTGGGCCTATCCGTATTTTTCCGTATATTTTGCCCAAATAAATAAATATGTACAAATGCCACTTACAACTTGCAAAATCATTGTTAATTATAATTTGTTTTTGATATCATAGACTTGACTAAGCGAACTATACTCGAAGATCGGCGCAAAGACAGCTATTTTTGGTAATCTAAACTGCTTTACACAGATATCATTCATTTAATTTTTGCTTACTCGATCATATTCCTTTTGATTCATACTAATTAGATATTTTCTGTAGGCATCAAGTCCATGGAAGATAATTAATCACTGGAGATCGATCGCTGTTTGAATAATCACAGGGATATGGAAAACTGAAGAAAGAGGTTTTCCTTCTGATTATGGTAGGCATGCATCAGTGTTATCAGAGTTGGTTCATAATCTGTCTGTCCTGTTTCTGTTTTATTACCAATAGTCATTTGTTAGCCTGATACAGCATTAGCTCCTGTAATAGCTTCTAATGCTGACTTAGGGCGTTAATGGTCCTGGTAGTGCTGATGATAGAAAGGACAGTCCACAATATATAAGCTATAAGGTAACCACCCAACAGAAAGATGTGGGCCCAATTTAATGGGCAGTGTAAAAATGATGTATGCAGGCCCATCTTGGTTAGTATAAAATATAATTGATTCCAGATAGACTGCTTTGAGGAACCAAGACCTGCCCAGCCAAGACCCATTCCTAATGCACATTACAGTGTCAAGTGTTAGGTATGGGTATTAGCATTACAGACACCTGTCTAGTTTCTTAAGAAAAAATAAAGAAAAAAAATAGATACTTGTTTAGTCCATACTACCACACGGTATACACTAGTCAAAGGCGGAAAATTTTACTGTTAGCTTAGTTTAGTTTATTTTGAGGGAAATTTGGTAATTAGTGGCACAGTTTTAACTCACCTTTTATTTGTTTTCTATGTCCCATTTGTTGTTATTATTTTCACACTGGTTATAGAAAAAGCTTTATTTTCTGATTCTGTTAACTTATTTTAATATAAATGGAAAAAAGAAAATAAAGCTTTCATCAATAAAATGAAAATATATCTCAACATTTCATTCGAAAAATTTCAGGCACAAGATAAGCAAAAGCAATCCTATGGTAAATGTAACTGAAAAATAAGTCATTTAGATCCATGGGCGCATAAGTTAACAGACATGTTTTAGGATATGCTTCGGAGATGCATGGATTCAGTGAGAAAAATTAAGATGCTCATGAATATATTAGGAAAACTCAATGAAATCCCAAAGATACAGGGTGCAAGTTGGATAGACTCGAGTTGGGCCTTCTTTTGTCAAAGTTTGAACCCAGCTCGAAGGTCCAAATCCAAAACAGTGTAAAATTCTAAGTCAGGCCAACCCATCTAAATAATACTAAGAAAAAGGTTAAAACAACCGTAAGGCTATGTTTGAAAGGAATACAAATATGTAGACTACAAAACCTTATATTTTATATATATTTATACTTTATATAATTGTATTTGTACTCTTTTTAAACTAAGTAAATAATTTATAAAATGTAAAAGAGATATATTTTACTGATTTATATGAAGTGTAAATAAGATAAACTTGAAAATAGGTGTTGCAAATGAATGGGTTGTATTAAATGTGGGTTGAAGACTGACACATCCTCGAAGGCTCCAAACCTCCAACCACCTACATCCGTTGATAACCCACATTTTGTACATGTATATGGATTGGAACCCAATGTAACCCACATCCACCCACTTAAATCAACGTTCTAAGACTCAATTCAGACCAGATTGAATGGTTGGACATTTACTCAGGAATACAAGGATAATTTGATTTTTAAACCCTTACACGTGGGAGCCGTGTGATGCATAGGATTTGTTGAGGAAAGCTAAATAATAAAACATATAAAAGTATATAATTGTTTTATATTTTTAACTTTTAAATAATTATTAATTATTTATATTTTAGAATACTTTTAATAACTTTTTCCAATACAAAAATAACAATAATTTATTTCAGCTAGGCATGTTCATCGAATTGATGAAACCAACCAACCTGACCAACTTGACTCAAATTGCTCAGGTTCTAATATTTCTAATTGAAATTGGATCAGTTTTGCTACGGCCATTTATAAATTGACCAAAATTGAATGACCTAATCACAGATATATATTAATATTTTTATATTTTAAATATAATTTTTTAATATGGGAAAATAGGGAATTTCCCATATTTCTTAGTCTCAAATATTTTATATTATAAATTTTCTTTTAATAATGTTAATGTCATTTTTAAAATTTAAAACTAAGCTTTCAATTTAATATTTTAAACCAATTGAGCAAACCAAAAATCAGCCCAAACCAATGCAACCCGATTTAGTTGATTTTCACTAATGGCCAGTAGATTTCGAGTAACCAACTCCTCAACCAAACCATGTCAATATGGTTGGCCAAATAGCCTACAACCGAACTAAATTAGGCCATGATTAACACTCCTAATTTCATCTAAATTAATATTTTAATCTCTAATAAATAAAAGTAGTTTAATCTCCAATCATTAATAAAAATTTATAGCAAAAATACATAGTTATTGAAAAATATATTGATAATGAAAATAAAATAAATACAATAATTACAACAATACAAAAATTATATGAAGTTAGTCAATAAATATTGTAATCTCAAATAATAGATTAATCTCTAATAAATATCAATGAATAAAGTACAACAAAAATACAATAATACAATAAGTATAATAAATTAAATTTAAAAAGATAAATAACAGTAGTTTAATATCCATTAATTAATAAAAATTTTCTATGAAATAACAAGACAAATACAGATTTATACATAATTATGTAAAATATATTTATCATAAAAAAGTATAAATAATTGCTGAAAATAAAATAAATATTAATTTTAGTATATTAAATATATAATAAATATGGATTAAGATTTTAAAATTATTATTAATGGATATTATTTTTTTGAAATTTATTTTTCTAGAGTTACTAATTGATACAAGTGAAATTGGTTATTTAAAATATTATTTAGTGTTTAAATAATATCCTTATTTAAATTTTATAATTTTAATTCTTTATCGAATTTAATAATATATAAAATTATAATTTATTCTATTATTACAAAATTTCATTATTAATTTTATAAAAATATTAATTTATCATTAATTTGAATATTATGTTCTGATTTTTTTATTATAAGATTTTTTTATTTTATTGCATAATTTCATTATTTTAACTATTTAAAATATAGTTATGTTAAATATTTCGTTATTTAAAATATTTATTTATTTAAATATTTAAAAATACTCATTATTTTAGTTTAAGATATTTAGTTATTGAAATATTAAATAATGAAATATTTTCTATAAAATTATTTAGCTATTTTTAGTATTTTATTATTTAAGATATTTAGATATTAAAATATTAAAATAATATTTTATTTTTAATGTTTAATTTCTATTCTTTGAATAACATTTAATTTGAATAATCTAGAAAACCATAATTTATAGGGAGAAGTACCAATCAGCCCAGATCAGAATTTACTAGGTCCAAAGTACAGGGAGAATGCATCCTAACCGTGAATTGATGCCAAATTTACAGGCAGGATGTGGTTTATAGGGGAGAAAGGGCTAGTTAAAGGGGGGGCTAGAATTCAGAATTCTACGTCGTGTGTTTCCGTACTTTTCCCTAATTTATATTATTAGTACATAATTTCGTGATGAATTTTGTAGAAATATAAAACTATTAGTAATATGAATATTCTTAAATCTACTAGCGGGGACCCGTGCAATGCATGGGATTTATTAAGCGAAAGCTAAATAATAGAAACGGTCATTTACTAAAATACCCCTTATAGTTTCATGGATTTACTAAAATCTACCCTATAATAAGATTTTACTAAAACACTACTTATAATTTGCAACGGATTTAATCAATCTTCCATTAGATGATGGTGGAAAATGACAATGTTGGCATTAATGTTCATATAAATAAATTTAATCAAAAGAAAATAAAAATAAAAATACCATTTTTTTCCCTTTATAAGACATGGGAAACCACTCTATTGGCTATATTTGGTTAACTTTATTTTTCTGTACAAAAAAAAAGTGTGAAGCGTATTTTTGGAATAAAAAAAATCATGGGCCTAATGGCAAAACAAACACCCCTTAATGAAAGGTTGATTAAGTAAATAAGTTGTAAAATATATGGGATGCTTTAATAAAATGAAAACTATAAGTTAGGTTTAATTAATATGTAAAACTATAAGATGTGTGCTAGTACATGACCCTAATAGAATCACATAAGAGTATACAATTGTTTCATATTTTCAACTTTTTTAATAATTAATAATTATACATATTTTATATACTATTTTTAATAAATTTTTTATAATACAAAAATAACAATAATTAATTTCAATTAGGTTTATTCATCAAACTGATGAAACCGACCAACCCGATCAACTCGACCCAAGTTGGTCGGTTTTCTAGTATTTTAGATAGGCTTTGGTTCAAAATTTTTCCAATTCGACCAAGTTGGATCAATTTCACTTTGTTCATTTGTAAACCAACCAAAATCGAACGACCTAACCATGGATATATATTAATATATTATATTTAAATATAATTTTTAATATGAAAAAGTGGGAAATTTCCCATATTTCTTAGTCTAAAATGTTTTATATCATGAATCTATTTTTTAATAATTGCACTATAATTTTTAAATTTAAATATTT